AACAAACAATGTGTGTCTACTGTAACCACTAACAACAAATAATGTGTGTCTACTGTAACCACTAACAACAAACAATGTGTGTCTACTGTAACCACTAACAACAAATAATGTGTGTCTATTGTAACCACTAACAACAAATAATGTGTGTTTACTGTAACCACTAACAACAAATAATGTGTGTCTACTGTAACCACTAACAACAAATAATGTGTGTCTACTGTAACCACTAACAACAAACAATGTGTGTCTACTGTAAGCACTAACAACAAATAATGTGTGTCTACTGTAAGCACTAACAACAAACAATGTGTGTCTACTGTAACCACTAACAACAAATAATGTGTGTCTACTGTAAGCACTAACAACAAATAATGTGTGTCTACTGTAACCACTAACAACAAATAATGTGTGTCTACTGTAAGCACTAACAACAAATAATGTGTGTCTACTGTAACCACTAACAACAAACAATGTGTGTCTATTGTAAGCACTAACAACAAACACTGTGTGTCTATTGTAACCACTAACAAATAATGTGTGTCTATTGTAAGCACTAACAACAAACACTGTGTGTCGATTGTAACTACTAAGATCAAACAATGTGTCTTTATTGTAACTACTAACAAACAATGTGTCTATATTGTAACCACTAACAACAAACACTGCATGTCTATTGTAACCACTAACAACAAACAATTTGTGCATATATTGTAACCACTAACAACAAAGTGTGTGTCTATTGTAACCACTAACAACAAACAATGTGTGTCTATTGTAAGCACTAACAACAAACAATGTGTGTCTATTGTAACCACTAACAACAAATGATGTGTGTCGATTGTAACCACTAACAACAAACAATGTGTGTCTATTGTAACCACTAACAACAAACAATGTGTGTCTATTGTAACCACTAACAACAAACAATGTGTGTCTATTGTAACCACTAACAACAAACAATGTGTGTCTATTGTAACCACTAACAACAAATAATGTGTGTCTATTGTAACCACTAACAACAAACAATGTCTGTCTATTGTAACCACTAACAACAAACAATGTGTGTCTATTGTAACCACTAACAACAAACAATGTGTGTCTATTGTAACCACTAACAACAAACAATGTGTGTCTATTGTAACCACTAACAACAAACAATGTGTGTCTATTGTAACCACTAACAACAAATGATATGTGTCTATTGTAACCACTAACAACAAACAATGTGTGTCTATTGTAACCACTAACAACAAATGATGTGTGTCTATTGTAACCACTAACAACAAACAATGTGTGTCTATTGTAACCACTAACAAACAATGTGTGTCTATTGTAACTACTAACAAATAATGTGTGTCTACTGTAAGCACTAACAACAAACAATGTGTGTCTATTGTAACCACTAACAACAAACAATGTGTGTCTATTGTAACCACTAACAAATTATGTGTGTCTACTGTAAGCACTAAAAACAAACAATGTGTGTCTACTGTAAGCACTAACAAATTATGTGTGTCTATTGTAACCACTAACAACAAATGATGTGTGTCTATTGTAACCACTAACAACAAACAATGTGTGTCTATTGTAACCACTAACAACAAATGATGTGTGTCTATTGTAACCACTAACAACAAACAATGTGTGTCTATTGTAACCACTAACAAACAATGTGTGTCTATTGTAACCACTAACAAATAATGTGTGTCTACTGTAAGCACTAACAACAAACAATGTGTGTCTATTGTAACCACTAACAACAAACACTGTGTGTCTATTGTAACCACTAACAAATTATGTGTGTCTACTGTAAGCACTAACAACAAACACTGTGTGTCTATTGTAACCACTAACAAATTATGTGTGTCTACTGTAAGCACTAACAACAAACACTGTGTGTCTACTGTAAGCACTAACAACAAACAATGTGTGTCTATTGTAAGCACTAACAACAAACAATGTGTGTCTATTGTAACCACTAACAACAAACAATGTGTGTCTATTGTAACCACTAACAACAAACAATGTGTGTCTATTGTAACCACTAACAACAAACAATGTGTGTCTTTTGTAACCACTAACAACAAACAATGTGTGTCTATTGTAACCACTAACAACAAACAATGTGTGTCTATTGTAACCACTAACAAACAATGTGTGTCTATTGTAACCACTAACAAATAATGTGTGTCTACTGTAAGCACTAACAACAAGCAATGTGTGTCTATTGTAACCACTAACAACAAACAATGTGTGTCTATTGTAACCACTAACAACAAACAATGTGTGTCTATTGTAACCACTAACAACAAACAATGTGTGTCTATTGTAACCACTAACAACAAACAATGTGTGTCTATTGTAAACACTAACAACAAACAATGTGTGTCTACTGTAACCACTAACAACAAATAATGTGTGTCTACTGTAAGCACTAACAACAAACAATGTGTGTCTATTGTAACCACTAACAACAAACAATGTGTGTCTATTGTAACCACTAACAAATTATGTGTGTCTATTGTAACCACTAACAAATAATGTGTGTCTACTGTAAGCACTAACAACAAACAATGTGTGTCTATTGTAACCACTAACAACAAACAATGTGTGTCTATTGTAACCACTAACAAATAATGTGTGTCTACTGTAAGCACTAACAACAAATAATGTGTGTCTACTGTAACCACTAACAACAAATAATGTGTGTCTACTGTAACCACTAACAACAAATAATGTGTGTCTACTGTAACCACTAACAACAAACAATGTGTGTCTACTGTAAGCACTAACAACAAATAATGTGTGTCTACTGTAAGCACTAACAACAAATAATGTGTGTCTACTGTAACCACTAACAACAAATAATGTGTGTCTACTGTAAGCACTAACAACAAATAATGTGTGTCTACTGTAACCACTAACAACAAATAATGTGTGTCTACTGTAAGCACTAACAACAAATAATGTGTGTGTCTACTGTAACCACTAACAACAAACAATGTGTGTCTATTGTAAGCACTAACAACAAACACTGTGTGTCTATTGTAACCACTAACAAATAATGTGTGTCTATTGTAAGCACTAACAACAAACACTGTGTGTCGATTGTAACCACTAAGATCAAACAATGTGTCTTTATTGTAACTACTAACAAACAATGTGTCTATATTGTAACCACTAACAACAAACACTGCATGTCTATTGTAACCACTAACAACAAACAATTTGTGCATATATTGTAACCACTAACAACAAAGTGTGTGTCTATTGTAACCACTAACAACAAACAATGTGTGTCTATTGTAAGCACTAACAACAAACAATGTGTGTCTATTGTAACCACTAACAACAAATGATGTGTGTCTATTGTAAGCACTAACAACAAACAATGTGTGTCTATTGTAAGCACTAACAACAAATGATGTGTGTCTATTGTAACCACTAACAACAAACACTGTGTGTCTATTGTAAGCACTAACAACAAACAATGTGTGTCTATTGTAAGCACTAACAACAAACAATGTGTGTCTATTGTAAGCACTAACAACAAACGCTGTGTGTCTATTGTAAGCACTAACAACAAACAATGTGTGTCTATTGTAAGCACTAACAACAAACAATGTGTGTCTATTGTAACCACTAACAACAAACAATGTGTGTCTATTGTAACCACTAACAACAAACAATGTGTGTCTATTGTAACCACTAACAACAAACAATGTGTGTCTATTGTAACCACTAACAACAAATAATGTGTGTCTATTGTAAGCACTAACAACAAACAATGTGTGTCTATTGTAACCACTAACAACAAATAATGTGTGTCTATTGTAACCACTAACAACAAACAATGTGTGTCTATTGTAACCACTAACAACAAACAATGTGTGTCTATTGTAACCACTAACAACAAATAATGTGTGTCTATTGTAACCACTAACAACAAACAATGTGTGTCTATTGTAACCACTAACAACAAACAATGTGTGTCTATTGTAACCACTAACAACAAACAATGTGTGTCTATTGTAACCACTAACAACAAACAATGTGTGTCTATTGTAAGCACTAACAACAAATAATGTGTGTCTACTGTAAGCACTAACAACAAACAATGTGTGTCTATTGTAACCACTAACAACAAACAATGTGTGTCTATTGTAACCACTAACAACAAATGATGTGTGACTATTGTAAGCACTAACAACAAACAATGTGTGTCTATTGTAACCACCAACAACAAACAATGTGTGTCTATTGTAACCACTAACAACAAACACTGGGTGTCTATTGTAACCACTAACAACAAAGACTGTGTGTCTATTGTAACCACTAACAACAAAGTGTGTTTCTTGTAACCACTAACAACAAACAAAGTGTGTTTCTTGTAACCACTAACAACAAAGTGTGTTTCTTGTAACCACTAACAACAAAGTGTGTTTCTTGTAACCACTAACAACAATGTGTGTTTCTTGTAACCACTAACAACAATGTGTGTTTCTTGTAACCACTAACAACAAAGTGTGTTTCTTGTAACCACTAACAACAATGTGTGTTTCTTGTAACCACTAACAACAAAGTGTGTTTCTTGTAACCACTAACAACAATGTGTGTTTCTTGTAACCACTAACAACAAAGACTGTGTGTCTATTGTAACCACTAACAACAATGTGTGTTTCTTGTAACCACTAACAACAATGTGTGTTTCTTGTAACCACTAACAACAATGTGTGTTTCTTGTAACCACTAACAACAAAGACTGTGTGTCTATTGTAAGCAATAACAACAAATAATGTGTGTCTATTGTAAGCACTAACAACAAATGATGTGTGTCTATTGTAACCACTAACAACAAAGACTGTGTGTCTATTGTAACCACTAACAACAAAGTGTGTTTCTTGTAACCACTAACAACAAAGTGTGTTTCTTGTAACCACTAACAACAAAGTGTGTTTCTTGTAACCACTAACAACAAAGAGGAGACATTATTTCCTTACTTTAAGTACTCCTCTTTGTTCTCCTCCATCACCTTAATCTCGCTGCCGCCGGGCTTCAAGTCGTGTTGCTCGATCTTCCCCAGAATCTCAAAGTCTGCACAGAAAAACAGCTCCAGCCCACAGTCGTCGATTTTATTCTCTCTAATAAAGGTACACAAGAATAGAATACAGTAAGAATAAATAATAATTATCAATGTTATTCTCTTTGACAAAGGTACAAAGAAAAAAAAGAACATATGCTGAGAAAAAAAATGATAGCTATCTATATTTTCCTCTTTGATAAAGGTACAAAATAAAGGAGCAAGGTGAGAAGAAATCTCAGTTATCATTGTCATTCTCTTTGATAAAGGTATAAAAATGAGAATAAGGTGAGAAGAAATGACTCACTTATCACTGTTATTCTCTTTGATAAAGGTAAAGAAATGGGAATAAGGGAGAAAAAAATGACTTAAGTTATCGATGCTATTCTCTTGGATAAAGGTATAAAAGAAGTGAACAAAGTAAGAAGAAAATAAGACAGTCATCAATTTTATTATCTCTCATTAAGGTACAAAAGAAAGGAACAGGGTGACAAAGAATAACACAGTCACTGACTGTCTCCTGAAAAAGTGCAAAGGAAAGAGAATATCATCGTCAACGATGCAAACAAGGTGCAACAAAGGTGCAAAAGGACTTTTTTAAAATCTAAAAAATCAATGAAACAGACACTGATTTGTTATTCGCTATGATAAAGTTATAAAAGAAAGGGAAAAAAAAAACTTCTTAAAAAATAATATAATGATTGATATCAATCATTAACAAAAGTATAAAACAAAAAGAAGAAGAAGCAGTCATTAATTGTATTCTCTCTGATAAAAGGTCAATGGAAAGGAAAAACATGAGGAGGAATCACACAGTGATCTATGTAATTCTCTTTGACAAAGGAATAAAAAGGAATAATAGGCTGAGAAAAAAATAATGCAGTCATCAATGTTATTCTCTCTGATGAAAGTACAAAAGAACAGAATAAATTCAGAAAGGAATAATACAACCACTGACATTAACTCTCTAACAAAAAAAACAAAAAAAAAACACAGCAAGGAACAGACTGACAAAGAATAACATGGGAATGACAAAAGTACCATAGAAAGGAATAAGCGTTAAAGGAGTTACACAATCACTTATATTATTCTTTTCAAGGTGTAACAATTAATACAAAACCTGAACCAGCTGAAACCGAATGGAACATTCAATATCATGAAATTCATTTGTCCAAAGGGCCAACCAAATGTGACTCCAGACGCTGGTTTTCTTGACTTTTCTCCCATAAAGCTGATACTTCAACATAGTTTTCTTTACTGTCCTCCCATAAAGCTGATATATTAACATAGTTTTCTTGACTTCCCTCCCATAAAGCTGATACATTAACATAGTTTTCTTAACTTCCCTCCCATAAAGCTGATACATTAGCATACTTTATTCTAACTGTTAATCTGGAATTCTTTCTCTCATCACTATCAAGTGCCTGGCCAAATGACATGTATGGTTACACTTTTTTATACTTAAAAATCTCTTAGAACTCAATCAAGGAAAGACTGCAAGTACCTGAGAGCATAATATGATCAAATGAACACACACCCAAAAAAAAAAACAGAAACAGAGAAACAACATGTAATAAAGAAAATAAAGAAAAAACAAAAAACTGAACTGATGTCACTAATTTTACAATACAAACATCTAACAACTGACAACAAAACAGCCCTGTTCAATACATTTTTTTTTGGGGGGGGGGGGGGGGGGGGGGGGGGGGGCTGTTCACACTTCCAGTCCCAGGATTAGAGTAACTTCCCTTGCCATTCATGCCTCCTTAGGTCGCAGGACCTTTGCTATGTTGCGGGGAGTCATGTTTTCCTTACTGTGAATGGTGTAACCGTTCCCTCTTTTCCCGTTATCTCAACACAGATTATTTTCACATTCTGCTACCTGTCCTAAACTACACAAAGAGACAGTATATCAAACAGTCTGACAGCCTATACCAGTTTACGTTACACCCCTAGGTACAAGCAATGGTGGTTACACTGCTGGCACAGATAGATAATTATGGTCTGGGGAGAATGGCGCAGCGAGGAGTTACAAGGGGATTTGGCCGGTGCTCAAAACGCAGGGAAAAGGTGAGACGGACATACAATCATACAGTTACTAGTGCCATCGAAAATGCAACTCTTCGCTTGCTGCTGAAGATGGGGACTGAGCACCAATGGGGGTGTGCTGTGATGTCGATTCATAATTCAACATTGGTTAGAATAAACTTACTTGATCCACAGCAGAGACTGGTAAAATTCTGCATCAATTGTCTCCAAGTCTTTGACAGTCAGCTTCTTGTTTAGCATCCGCTTATAGAAGGGTAATGTAAAACCACTGTCGATGAACTTGCCATGGTAGAGCGCCTGCAAAACAAGAAAGACACAGTGAACAAGCATTCACCTAGAAACCAAAAAAAAACCGGAAAATACAAAAACATGGATTTTAAAAAAATGCAAAGGTTAGTGAACTGCCAAAATGTAAACTGTCACTACTGTCTGTGTGTACCACTTTTGAGAAGGGTGTAGATTTATGGCCACATAGTTAGTGCCGTTGCCATGGACTGTACAGATTAGGAAGTTTAATTCTGTCCCCCGATAGAAAAACGCCATCACCTTGCCCGGTTTGAATGCAAGTCACCCGCATGAAACCCCGACGTTGTGAGCACTCAGCTAGCTGCTTCTGTTAGTAAACAATCTCACAAATGATGATCAGGTTCTATTTCCACAGTGGGCGGTTTAGAAATAGACCATTCTACTAACTTTAAGGCAGTGGTACAAGAGTCAGACTGGAAGATATTCGAGCAACACAACACAATATTGTCAGTGACTATAGTTGATACACATATCCACAGTGGCACAATTTATGTTTTGGTAGCAAGCAATGAACCTGTAATGCATCAGTTGGTACAGAAATTCCTGTACAGGTGTAGGCCCCCCCCCTCCCAAAAAAAAAAAAAACCCCCACATAGAACCACTGTCTTTTAACTAGCATTTTGTACAAGGCAACCAATCAGAGATTTCCTGTTCTTGGTCGAAAAGCAGCCCAGCTGTAACCCACAACAACTCGAGCCAAACACCATTTTGAGAAAGAACACAGAAGAAAAACAAGAAGTAGAAGGAAGTAGAAAGAAAGGAGAAGAAAGGGGGAGAAGGAGGAGGAAGAAGGTGACAAAGAAGATGGAGAAGAAGAAGAAGAAGAAGAAGAAGAAGAAGAAGAAGAATAAGAAGAAGAAGAAGAAGAAGAAAGAAGAAGAAAAAGGTAAAAAAAAAAAAGCAATAAACACTACTGTTTAAACAAATGAAACATTTTTTTTCCTTTTTTCCAAGGTGACCAGTTGGGCATGAAGGCCAATCTTACATTCGGACACTCATCTTTCCCACATATACTGGATTTTTATTTGCACAATTTTTATCTACAAAACATGTTATGTTCACACAACAAAATACATAATGCTGAGACAGCAGTGTGTGTGTGTGTGTCAATTTTCCCACAAGAGACAGTGACAGACATTCTGTGTGTTTTATGTTGACACAGCAGCAGAACAACTATGGGGTGACCCGTCTGCTATGAAGCTGAAACTATGATTACTATGACACAGATGCAATGACACAAGATACCTGAACTCCACATATGCCAACTCACCATTGCAATAAATCTGCCAATGAACCTGAAGTACTGGAGGTGGTCGGGGTTGATACTGGAGGCTGGGTTGATCTGTAGACTGTAGTTGTTGTTGCTGGCGTACTCAAACAGGCAATACATGGGGTTGAGAACGTCATGGGACACATGGAAGAACCACTCCCTGCATGGAATTTTGTAGTCACATTAGCAGATCAGGACAGATATACAGGCATTTTGTAGGTCACATTTATTAGTACATCAAGACATATGTACAGGGGTTTTGTAGGTCACATTTATTAGTAGTACACCAAGACACATACACAGGGGTTTTGTAGGTCACATTTATTAGTAGTACACCAAGACACATACACAAGGGTTTTGTAGGTCACATTTATTAGTAGTACACCAAGACACATACACAGGGGTTGTGTAGGTCACATTTATTAGTACACCAAGACACATACACAGGGGTTGTGTAGGTCACATTTATTAGTACACCAAGACACATACACAGGGGTTGTGTAGGTCACATTTATTAGTACACCAAGACACATACACAGGGGTTTTGTAGGTTACATTTATTAGTAGTACACCAAGACACATACACAGGGGTTTTGTAGGTTACATTTATTAGTAGTACACCAAGACACATACACAGGGGTTTTGTATGTTACATTTATTAGTAGTACACCAAGACACATACACAGGGGTTGTGTAGGTCACATTTATTAGTACACCAAGACACATACACAGGGGTTGTGTAGGTTACATTTATTAGTACATCAAGACATATGTACAGGGGTTTTGTAGGTTACATTTATTAGTACATCAAGACATATGTACAGGGGTTTTGTAGGTTACATTTATTAGTAGTACACCAAGACACATACACAAGGGTTTTGTAGGTCACATTTATTAGTAGTACACCAAGACACATACACAAGGGTTTTGTAGGTCACATTTATTAGTAGTACACCAAGACACATACACAAGGGTTTTGTAGGTCACATTTATTAGTACACCAAGACACATACACAGGGGTTGTGTAGGTCACATTTATTAGTACACCAAGACACATACACAGGGGTTGTGTAGGTCACATTTATTAGTACACCAAGACACATACACAGGGGTTTTGTAGGTTACATTTATTAGTAGTACACCAAGACACATACACAGGGGTTTTGTAGGTTACATTTATTAGTAGTACCCCAAGACACATACACAGGGGTTTTGTAGGTCACATTTATTAGTAGTACACCAAGACACATACACAGGTAGCACATCAAGGGGTTTTGTAGGTCACATTTATTAGTAGTACCCCAAGACACATACACAGGGGTTTTGTAGGTCACATTTATTAGTAGTACATCAAGACACATACACAGGGGTTTTGTAGGTTACATTTATTAGTAGTACACCAAGACACATACACAGGGGTTTTGTAGGTTACATTTATTAGTAGTACACCAAGACACATACACAGGGGTTTTGTAGGTCACATTTATTAGTAGTACACCAAGACACATACACAGGGGTTTTGTAGGTTACATTTATTAGTAGTACACCAAGACACATACACAGGGGTTTTGTAGGTTACATTTATTAGTACACCAAGACACATACACAGGGGTTTTGTAGGTCACATTTATTAGTAGTACACCAAGACACATACACAGGGGTTTTGAAGGTCACATTTATTAGTAGTACACCAAGACACATACACAGGGGTTTTGTAGGTTACATTTATTAGTAGTACACCAAGACACATACACAGGGGTTTTGTAGGTTACATTTATTAGTAGTACACCAAGACACATACACAGGGGTTTTGAAGGTCACATTTATTAGTAGTACACCAAGACACATACACAGGGGTTTTGAAGGTCACATTTATTAGTAGTACACCAAGACACATACACAGGGGTTTTGTAGGTTACATTTATTAGTAGTACACCAAGACACATACACAGGGGTTTTGTAGGTTACATTTATTAGTAGTACACCAAGACACATACACAGGGGTTTTGTAGGTTACATTTATTAGTAGTACCCCAAGACACATACACAGGGGTTTTGTAGGTCACATTTATTAGTAGTACACCAAGACACATACACAGGTAGCACATCAAGGGGTTTTGTAGGTCACATTTATTAGTAGTACCCCAAGACACATACACAGGGGTTTTGTAGGTCACATTTATTAGTAGTACCCCAAGACACATACACAGGGGTTTTGTAGGTCATTTACTAGTAGTACCCCAAGACACATACACAGGGGTTTTGTAGGTCATTTACTAGTAGTACCCCAAGACACATACACAGGGGTTTTGTAGGTCACATTTATTAGTACATCAAGACACATATATATATACAGGGATTTTGTATATCACATTAACACATAAAGTAAAATGATATACACAGGAATTGTATTCTCTGGTAGCCTACCAAGATATACACACACAGATTATGTACCCTGCATAAGGTAGCTCATCATGACATGCACATCGGATTATGGACCTCGCATTAGGTAGCACATCAAGATAAATGCACAGAGATTATATATCTCACATTAGGTAGCACATCAAGACATACATATGGGGATTATGCAGCTCTCATGAGGTAGCACATCAAGACATACATATGGGGATTATGACACTCTCATGAGGTAGCACATCAAGACATACATATAGTGATTATGTAACTCTCATGAGGTAGCACATCAAGACATACATAAGGGGATTCTTCAACTCTCATGAGGTAGCACATCAAGACATACATATGGGGATTATGCAGCTCTCATGAGGTAGCACATCAAGACATACATATGGGGATTATGTAACTCTCATGAGGTAGCACATCAAGACATACATAAGGGGATTATGCAACTCTTACGAGGTAGCACAACAAGACATACATGAGGGGATTATGCAACTCTTACGAGGTAGCACAACAAGACATACATATGGGGATTATGCAACTCTTACGAGGTAGCACAACAAGACATACATATGGGGATTATGACACTCTCATGAGGTAGCACATCAAGACATACGTATAGGGATTATGTAACTCTCATGAGGTAGCACATCAAGACATACATATAGGGATTATGTAACTTTCATGAGGTAGCACATCAAGACATACATATAGGGATTATGTAACTATCATGAGGTAGCACATCAAGACATACATATGGGGATTCTTCAACTCTCATGAGGTAGCACATCAAGACATACATATGGGGATTCTTCAACTCTCATGAGGTAGCACATCAAGACATACATATGGGGATTCTTCAACTCTCATGAGGTAGCACATCAAGACATACATATGGGGATTCTGCAACTCTCATGAGGTAGCACATCAAGACATACATATGGGGATTATGTAACTCTCATGAGGTAGCACATCAAGACATACATATGGGGATTCTGCAACTCTCATGAGGTAGCACATCAAGACATACATATGGGGATTATGTAACTCTCATGAGGTAGCACATCAAGACATACATATGGGGATTCTTCAACTCTCATGAGGTAGCACATCAAGACATACATATGGGGATTCTTCAACTCTCATGAGGTAGCACATCAAGACATACATATGGGGATTCTGCAACTCTCATGAGGTAGCACATCAAGACATACATATGGGGATTCTTCAACTCTCATGAGGTAGCACATCAAGACATACATATGGGGATTCTTCAACTCTCATGAGGTAGCACATCAAGACATACATATGGGGATTCTTCAACTCTCATGAGGTAGCACATCAAGACATACATATGGGGATTATGCAACTCTCATGAGGTAGCACATCAAGACATACATATGGGGATTATGTAACTCTCAAGAGGTAGCCCATCAAGACATACATATGGGGTTTAAGTGAACGAACAAACGAATGAACGAACAAACTTTATTTTCAAAGGGTTAGGAATTAGGCATGTAGACGCGTCTTACATTCAGCCCTTCCAAACACCCATCTTTCCCACTGCAGCTGTATTTTATCAATAAGCATGTTTTATTCATATGATAAAATGCATAAACATAAAATAAAAAGAAGTTTTCATCTCATTTATAAAATTAATTTTCTCTGGCATTATCTATGAATGCATTTACCTATAGTTCCTTTTATACTGGCTCTCCATTTAAACTTTTTTTTTTTAAAGTACAAAGATTTAAAAAAAAAAAACATACATGCAGAAAACACAATAAAGGATAACAACAATCAATTTATCTACCTACCTGGCTAAACCACCGTAATCAAGCCCCTCTTCCCCTTTGAAAATGATATAAAGTCGTCTTCTTAAGTCAAAAGGTTGCAGTCTCATAATCTGTCGAATAGAGTAAGACAAACAAGCTATATCATGAATTATGAGCAAAAGTGTTCACATTTGTAAACCTAAATGTTTAAAACAAAAAATGTTATTAAGAAAGAAAACAGGGGCTTCTGAGCTGACAAGATTTAGAAAGATTTTCATGTGCCAAGAAGAGAAGAAATACTGACACCCTAAAAGATCTGAACACCAAGAAAGACTGGCTAGCAAACAGTATCAATTCTCAGTATATGAAATATTTTGGCCATATCAAGCTGCATGGCGGACTTGGAAACAATTATAAGAGAAGGCATGGTGCCAGCAAAGAGGGGGCAGGGGCTGACCAGCAGGAAGATGGGCACAGGATAGATAGGATAGAGAGTGCACAAGGCAGGACAGCTGGTGAGACTGAGTTTCTTTCTGGCAGACTGCCATGACAGCGGCATTCTACAAAGGACCTGCTACATGATGATGATGAAATGTAAAAATGTTCAGAAAGGTTAACCATCTTACTAGTGTAACTGTATAGTAAAGGTCCCTTTTCCACACCTTTAGGGGGATAGGGCATATAGGGCTAGACCTATGTTTTTATAGACCAATCAGCACAAGATGGGTGATGTGATCAGCATCACGCTGGCCGCTTTTATTTCCCGGGATTGCACCCCGTACCCACTTAAGGCTGGATCGACCTAGGGGTCTCAAGGTCATTTTTGAGAAAAAGTCTGGCTTGGCCAGGGAGCGAACTTACGACCTTCCAATCCGCACATGAGTGTCTAATGTAACTGTATAATTTCCAATACTTTTCACTAATTATGCAAATTTCTGTAATAAAATATCTCTAAATTAAATTTAGCGATAAAACTGTAGACTGACAATGAATGTAATAAACTTTGAATATCTAGGCTCTATGTGGCCTCTGTGGCTTTGGCATTGCGAGTCGGACTCGTAATTCCAGCGTACCACTTTCGAAACCCACTGATGGCTGAGTGGATTTTTATCATAGCATGGAGCGTCGCAGGTCAATCCAGCCTAAAATGGGTACCAGCATGTATGTCCTGGGGAAGTAAAGACGGCTGGCGTAATGCTGACCAGATTACCCACCTAGTGCCGACTAGTCTGTAAAAATATGGGTGCTCTTCCCTAAAGACGTGATAAGGGATCTTTACTTTTTAACTTTGTATCCAGGGACTATAATAAATAGCTATGCAAAACATTTGACAGAAATCAAAAGGAGGATGGCCATAGTAATACAAACATTAAACAGCATTAAACATCTATGGTTAAGCACCAGCACAGAAATCAAAGTTAAAATGCTGAGAGCATACATCTTCCCTGTAGCAACATAAGAATGAGAGTACCAGTCCTTAAGAAAGAAAACAGGGGCTCTTGAGGTGGAACGCCAAAGAAAGATTCTCAGAATACGATGGACAAAGAGAAAAAAGAAATCCTGACATTTTAAAAGATATGACCATGAAGGAAGATTGGCCAATAAACAGCATCTTGTCTCGGAAGCTGAAATGTTTTAGTCTTCTTAAGTGCCAAGGCGGATAGGAAAAAATAATAGCAGACGTCATGGTACCAGGAAGGAGGGGCAAACCAATACCAAGATGGGCACAGGATATAAGTGACTCCTTGAATATGAAAGCACATGAGGCGGGGGAGCTGGCCAGAGTTCCTTTCAGGCAGACAGTGATGAGAGTGACGCTCTGCACACGACCTGCTAAGTGATGATGATTAAAATGTTAAGTAGAGCGGTATCAAACAAGCTAACACAAATGTAAAATTCCTGGTTCATTCTTTCTTCTTCTTTTTTTCTTCATGTTCACCAGCTGTAAACCTCCTTGTTCATTCTTCTTCTTTTTTTCTTCATGTTCACCAGCTGTAAACCTCCTTGTTCATTCTTCTTCTTTCTTCTTCATGTTCACCAGCTGTAAACCTCCTTGTTCATTCTTCTTCTTCATGTTCACCAGCTGTAAACCTCCTTGTTCATTCTTCTTCTTCATGTTCACCAGCTGTAAACCTCCTTGTTAATTTTTCTTCTTCATGTTCACCAGCTGTAAACCTCCTTGTTCATTCTTCTTCTTCATGTTCCCCAGCTGTAAACCTCCTTGTTCAATCTTCTTCTTCATGTTCATCAGCTGTAAACCTCCTTGTTCATTCTTCTTCTTCATGTTCACCAGCTGTAAACCTCCTTGTTCATTCTTTCTTTTTCATGTTCAACAGCTGTAAACCTCCTTGTTCATTCTTCTTCTTCATGTTCACCAGCTGTAAACCCCCTTGTTCATTCTTCTTCTTCATGTTCACCAGCTGTAAACCATCTTGTTCATTCTTTCTTCTTAATGTTCACCAGCTGTAAACCTCCTTGTGCATTCTTCTTCTTTCTTCTTCATGTTCACCAGCTGTAAACCTCCTTGTTCATTCTTCTTCTTTCTTCTTCATGTTCACCAGCTGTAAACCTCCTTGTTCATTTTTCTTCTTCATGTTCACCAGCTGTAAACCTCCTTGTTCCTTCTTCTTCTTCATGTTCACCAGCTGTAAACCTCCTTGTTCATTCTTCTTCTTTCTTCTTCATGTTCACCAGCTGTAAACCTCCTTGTTCATTCTTCTTCTTTCTTCTTCATGTTCACCAGCTGTAAACCTCCTTGTTCATTCTTCTTCTTTCTTCTTCATGTTCACCAGCTGTAAACCTCCTTGTTCATTTTTCTTCTTCATGTTCACCAGCTGTAAACCTCCTTGTTCATTTTTCTTCTTCATGTTCACCAGCTGTAAACCTCCTTGTTCATTCTTCTTCTTCATGTTCACCAGCTGTAAACCTCCTTGTTCATTTTTCTTCTTCATGTTCACCAGCTGTAAACCTCCTTGTTCATTCTTCTTCTTCATGTTCACCAGCTGTAAACCTCCTTGTTCATTCTTCTTCTTCATGTTCACCAGCTGTAAACCTCCTTGTTCATTCTTCTTCATGTTCACCAGCTGTAAACCCCACTCAAAAGTTCTGGTTGTTTACAGCCTCTGAACTTTAGTTTTGTTTCAGAACAAGAGGCAGTGGGTCTGTTCTCGTTTCTCCACACAACAGGGCCCCAGAACCCACACAGGGAGGTCTGTTAATTTAATTTACTAAAGCAGCTACAATTTACATGCAATGACTAAAGGCAGTGTCCACATCAAAGATGAACAAAATACACAATCTTGTGGATCATACCTGAGCGAAAGAATCTTCAAACAAGTTGTCCCTGGCAACTGTAATCTTAACATGACCTGGAAGTGCATTGGAGTGGCACAGGTATCGGAACTGGCCCAGCTTCCACCGGAAACTTCTCTCATACTGTATAGGCACCCCATATGCACCTTTGGGACTAAGAAAGGAGAAAACACTTGATAAGGGAGGCAGAGAAAGAAGACAAACATGTATGCAGAAAGCTCAAACAGGTGAGTGAAAATATCAGATGACGCAGTCAACCGGGAGAGTGCTGTCTGTTATAGACCCGACATGAGAGAAAGACAGACAGAAAAAGAAAGAAAGAAAGAAAGAAAGAAAGAAAGAAAGAAAGAAAGAAGGAAAGATAGAAAGAAAGAAAGAAAGAAAGAAAAAGAAAGAAATACAGACAGAGAGAGATAGACAGACAATGACAAAGGGGAAAAAGAAAAGACAGACTACCCGTGCTGGTTCTGGGTCCCACTGTGGGAAAAAAACAAGAACTGACCCAGTCTCCCCAGCAAGCGTCTCCTAAGAGTCAACTAATCAGGATTTTCCAATGAAGTATATCTGCCTTAGTGGCAAGGAACCAACAGTCTGCATGTAAATAAGTCAGATCTGTAAAATCATATAAAAGGATTATTGTATTTTTCTGTGTATAAGATGATGTTTGCTTATATTTTTTTAAACTTAAAAACAGGGGATCATTTTATAGACGAAATGTGCATAAAATATTTATTTCTGAATTTTTGGTTAACACATTGGGATAGTCTTATATATGGGCACATCTCATCTTCGTCTTCTTCTTCAGCGGAATTATGAGCTCCTGAGGTTCACTGTTGCAGATATCACCCACCTCCTCTCATCTCTCTGGTTGGCATTCTCTTTCCAGTTGGTGACACCAAGTGTTTGCAGGTCTGTAAGGACATTATGTCTCTATCGTCTTCTTTGTCTGCCTCGTGGTTTATGACCATTCAGCTCTCTTGTGTATACAGTTTTTAACACTCTGTCACTGACATTCTCTCAATACGACCCAGCCATTTCAATCTATTAGCCCTAATGATGCTAGTGATCTTCCTTTTATTCTCCTTTCGTCGTCTCACTGATTCCAGGTTGTCTGGGTTTTCTGTATTTGTTTTGCACTTCTCAGGTGATGGATTTGTTCATCTTTTTTGCAGGTTTCTGCTACACCATTTCTCCATCTCTTTCTTCTTCTATCCTTTCTCTCAGATTTCTGCTGTCTCCCATACAGTTTAGTCTGTCTGCCTTCTCACTAGATGACTGAACGGTTTCATTCTTTGTCTGTCTATACATTCCAGACATGGTCTGATTTCCACTTTCCCTATAAAGCTGGTATTCGTAACCCCGTCCCTTTTTGTGTTATTAGTAACCCTGTGGAGACAGCTCATTTCACATTTTTTTGTTTTTGTTTACTCTATTCTAGTGCCCTATTCACTGTTCATGTTTGGCACTGATAAAATAAAGTAGGGATAAAGATGCTATTAATGCCAGTGATCAATTTATAATAAAAGGATTACTGTATTTTTCCATCGTATAAGTTTTCCCCAATTTTTTAAACTTCAAAATTGGAGTCATTTTAAATATGGTACATGTTAAGTTGAGTTGAGTCAGGAATTGACATCACAGCACTCTGGGAATTCCCATGCATGCTCCATCCTCAACTTCAGCAGCCATCGTAGAGTTCCAATACTGATGCTACCAGTCACAATCTGGTTATATGTCTGTCTTGCCTTTCCTCTGAGTGTAGTGAGCCAGCCAGACCCTCTGGTTGCACCCAGGTGCCTCATTCTCTCCATCTCCAGGCCATAATAATCTTCTTTCTCTACTGATTCCGTTGCTTGTTCCCAAAGGATCTTGACCACATCTGCCTTGGCATGTATCAATTTACCACCCAGTGGTGCAGATACAGCCAATCTGTCTACCTGTTTATTACCCACCATTGAAGCATCCCTGTCTTCACTTTTCTCAGCATGCTTTCAGTCTGTTACAATTATGACATGTGAATGCATCTTGTTCTCTATCCGCTGAGAGCTGCAGTTACCGCCTCCACCTCCATTCTCATGCCAGATGTTGTGATGTCGTATGCCAGGTTGTCTTGCACTAAAGATATATGGTACATGCTTAAATTATTTATTTCATAGTTTTGGGCTAAAAATAGGTAATGTCTTATACCGGGGGGCAGTGCAAACATGGAGCAAATATAGCGTTGTCTAAAGTTAAGGCTTTTGTTGAAAAAAAAAATGATATCTAGGACCTTAAATGTGTTCAACGGAGCACCAAATATGACGCACTGGCCTAGACTGTTAGCTACGATCAGCAGCAAAGAGGCCTCACCCTTTCTGAGGTCCTCCCCGTGGGTCCTGGAATGTTGTAGTTCTGGTATTGTGATCCACAAAGTACCGGACGCCTTCGGCTGTGTACCTCATTTCCCAACCCTCTGGCAAAGGATCCTCCTGATTAATCCTGTGCAACACAACAACACAATCATCAATAAAAACAACACAATCATCAATAAAAAACAACACAATCACCAATTAAAAACAACACAATCACCAATTAAAAACAACACAATCACCAATATAAACAACACAATCATTAATATATAAAAAGAGCCTGCTTGCTGCATATGTGTGCTGGCATATAGTGCTAGACACAGGGCTTCCTTTCCAGGAAAAAAGTTGCCGGTACTCACCACAAATTTTTACCCATATAAAAAATTATCACAGTAGTGCTGCATAAAAATGTGCATAACATTGTGTACCACACACACACTGTGGCTAGACCCAGATTTATACAGACTAAAGGTTATTAATATGTTGGTCTCCCCATTTACACACCGGTATACACTAGCTCGCTTCTGATTGGTTGACCTCCAGCCTACCTCTCTTCTGATAGGTTGGCCTCGAGTGATCCAACTTTCACACAAGGTCACAGGGCTATTCCACATGAGTGTTGTATATTTCACTATGCCATAGCTTTTAACACAACAAAAACATTTAGATAATGGGGCTAACACACAACCTCCCTAGAGAGTGACAAAACCTATGTCACTGGCCATCTCTTTCTTGGAATAAAAACGTAAATGCAAGACAACAAGAGACCGCGACACCCATAACCTGGACCACAGTAGACTAGTCCAACAAACTTATCAATGGAGTTGACCTACATTCGGTGGGGAGACTAACGTATTGAGAACCAGACTAATTGCGACTTGATGCTGTCATGATATAATCAACACACATGCAGCTTTTACTTACTTACTTACTTACTTACTTAGTCGCTCCTCTTCTACCTTGGGGTGTAGAGGTTTGCCAGAGAGATCGCCAGACGTCTCTATCAGCAGTTTTCTTTCTGGCTTTGTTCCATTCCAGTCCTCTGTCAGTCAGGGACTGTCGGATGTTGTCTTCCCAGCGCACCCTGGGTCGTCCCGGAGGTCTGGTTCCCTGGTTCTTAGCCTCCCATGCTTGCCATGGTGGCCGATTTTCTCCCATTCTGCACACATGTCCAAACCATCGTAACTGTGACTGATCCACTCGGGTTAGTAAGGGCTGGGTATCAAGATCTTGACGTATTGTCTGATTGCGGACTTTGTCCCTTCTTGTCACTTGGACCACCTTTCTCAGGTATCTCATTTCCGAGGCCTGCAGCTGGCTTCTGTGAGCTGTTGTCATTGCCCATGACTCACACCCATAGGTCAGGACTGGTACATAGGTAGAGCGGTAAACCAGCTTTTACTTTCTGGATATTTTCTTTGCCTACTGTCAATTTGGGTCAACATAAGTAGAAGCAGGCGAGTTATGAAAAGGGAAAAACAAAAGGTGCATTGTGACAACAGGAAAAAGCAGCAGGAAAAAAGGAGGTAGCGAGAGGCCAAAAAAGGAAATTTTAACAGTTGAATGTTGATTAAGAATCAACATCGCAAAACTGGGGACAATCTCATAAGCGCTCTGTCAATATCATCAGCAGCAAGTGAAGAGTTCCACTTTCGATGGTACCAATAACAGTCTGATTGTACATCCATCTTTCCATTGAGTGGACAGTTGGCTCCATAGTAATGAAGAATGCCCAAGAAAGAAATGACTAGCAGTACATGATACAGAAGGCTGTGGATAGACTTGACTACCAAAACCACACAGCAGACACTAGAAAAAAAGAAGCATCAATAATACAAGGGTTTTCAAAATGACAGACACACGTTCGTTCATGTATGTTTCCTTAAATTTTCATTAAATAGTAAAAATATATATACAAGCGAGAGAGGAAGATCTGAAGTTTACAAACTTAAAACAGAGATTACAGATGTTCAGTATGGCTGCAGTCTGCTGCTCGGCAAATATTTAAGATGAAGCTAAACTCATGCTCAGACTCGGAACTGAACTGAAGGGTCCTTGGTGGTACAATCATCCACACTTGAGTGGTTAGGTATACAAGTGCTCTCTTGCAGCAGTATTCGAAGCTTTAGACCTTCCCCCCTCTCTCGTATGTATATTACTTATATGTTTGGTCACTTGACAAATCACGAAAGTTTAGAAAGAACAATAATGGAGGTTTATATGCCGGGAAGAAAGGAAGAGGAAGGCCAAAGAGAAGATGGGTACAGGATGTGGCGGATAATCTCTCATTTTGTGTATCGGATGCGTGACATCTTGCTTGTAGTCAAGAATTTTTCCGGAAGGTTGTTAAGGCAGCAAGATTTTGCAAAGGACATGCTACTGACTGACTGACTGAACGTATATTTAAGGAGACATACTTGAATGAAGGCGTATCCATTATTTAGAATAGCCCTGTATGTGCCACAGATATTGGCAACAAATTATAACATAACTGTACATCACACACTCAGGTTCCAGGGTCCCATTTGGGGGGAAAAGGGGGGGGGGGGGGGTTTGAGAACAGATCTATGCTCTATAAGAAACATGTCATATCAGGCAACTAGCCAGAAGCTTGCTAAGATCAGACACGATGCCCCAAAGACGCAATACAGCTGCAAATCATAACACAATGGGCCAATCAATTTTTAAGAGCAAACACAACCATAAATAAATCACAGGTATTTGAAACAATCTTCCCTTCTTCTTCTTTGTTCACCGGCTGGAAGCCCGGATGGAAAGCCCTGGTAGTTCGTCCATTTGGACTTTGGATTTGTGCCAGGGCCGGAGTTTTGCGTGTTCATCCGTTTTACTGGCTTATTTGTGTGCAGTTGGTTGTTCCTTGCCGCTCGGGCAAATGAACTCCGAAATAATTTTAAATAAAAATAAATGAATCAACAAGAGAGACTGATACCCTTGACTTCTAGGATCTTCCCACTGTGTTGTCCGGTTGCTATGGTTCACAAAGTAGACTCTATTATTGCTGTCCACTCTTTTTTCTGAAATGACAAAATTAATTATCCCAAAGTTAATTTCAAATCTATAACATTCAAAACATAACAGCAAACCTGTAGCATTCAGACAGCAAGAACAAATCTACAACATTCAAAACATAACAACAATCCTGTAGCATTCAGATAGCAAGAACACATCTATAACATTCAAAACATAACAACAATCCTGTAGCATTCAGATAGCAAGAACACATCTATAACATTCAAAACATAACAGCAAACCTGTAGCGTTCAGACAGCAAGAACAAATCTATAACATTCACAAATTAACAGCAAACCTGTAGAATTCAGACAGCAAGAACAAATCTATGACATTCAAAACATAACAGCCAACCTGTAGCATTCAGACAGCAAGAACAAATCTATAACATTCAAAACATAACAGCAAACCTGTAGCATTCAGACAGCAAGAACAAATCTATAACATTCAAAACATAACAGCAAACCTGTAGAATTCAGACAGCAAGAACAAATCTATAACATTCAAAACATAACAGCCAACCTGTAGCATTCAGACAGCAAGAACAAATCTATAACATTCAAAATATAACAGCAAACCTGTAGAATTAAGACAGAAAGAACAAATCTATAACATTCAAAACATAACAGCCAACCTGTAGCATTCAGACAGCAAGAACAAATCTATAACATTCAAAATATATAACAGCAAACCTGTAGCATTCAGACAGCAAGAACAAATCTATAACATTCAAAATATAACAGCAAACCTGTAGAATTAAGACAGAAAGAACAAATCTATAACATTCAAAACATAACAGCCAACCTGTAGCATTCAGACAGCAAGAACAAATCTATAACATTCAAAACATAACAGCCAACCTGTAGCATTCAGACAGCAAGAACAAATCTATAACATTCAAAACATAACAGCCAACCTGTAGCATTCAGACAGCAAGAACAAATCTATAACATTCAAAACATAACAGCAAACCTGTAGCATTCAGACAGCAAGAACACATCTATAACATTCAAAACATAACAGCAAACCTGTAGCATTCAGACAGCAAGAACAAATCTATAACATTCAAAATATAACAGCAAACCTGTAGCATTCAGACAGCAAGAACAAATCTATAACATTCAAAACATAACAGCAAACCTGTAGCATTCAGACAGCAAGAACAAATCTATAACATTCACAAATTAACAGCAAACCTGTAGCATTCAGACAGCAAGAACAAATCTATAACATTCAAAATATAACAGCAAACCTGTAGCATTCAGACAGCAAGAACAAATCTATAACATTCAAAATATAACAGCAAACCTGTAGCATTCAGACAGCAAGAACAAATCTATAACATTCAAAATATAACAGCAAACCTGTAGCATTCAGACAGCAAGGAAAAATATATAACATTCATAAAATAACAGCAAACACAGAGCATTTATGATTAACTGTGGAGCACATTTTTTTTAATGACATCACGTACTTAGTTTTTCTCATCTGTTCTACCTACAAAGTATAGTAGGGCTTTACAAACACTCTCTACATGCATACAAATAACAAGCAGAAATGATGACTTTTTAAATAACAACATACCCCAGCCCTCTGGTAATGGCCCTAAAGGATCGGTCTCCTGAGCAGGACCTGCCTGCTGTGGGAACAGAAACCGTTGCCCAAACTGTTCTAGCGTGCGGTTACCCCGCCACTCTTGCCAGTTAGCATAGTTGTTCAGTGATTCGGTGTTTGGTCGTTGCCATGTCGTTGTCCGTGTGTTGTGATCCACATAGTAGACACGCCCACGGTTGTCAACCCTCCTCTCCCAGCTGTAGGAAGAAAGCAACAGAGTATGCATAAACATGCCGCACTTTGACCTTATTGGCTCAGTGGTTCCGGGGCACTGTTACAGGGAAAACAAGAATAGACCCACCGCCTACCCAAAAGCATGCTGTAAGAGTTGACTAACTGGAAGCTTCCTTTAAAGTCAGTGCATCTGCCTGAGAGGCAAGGAACCAACAGTCTGCATACAAATAAGTCAGATCTGTCAAACGGATGCACACGCAACACTCAAGTTCTGGAGCAGGACTGCAGTCCAGAAGTGGACAAACAACCAAA